TCTGCATATAAGGACAATTTAAGCTCAACACCAGAGCGGATAATTCCATGAAAAGAAGAGAGGGATCTTAGGGCAACAGAAAGAGGTTCAATGGCTAACGCAAGCAGGAGGGGAGAAAGAGGACAACCCTGTCTAGTACCACGTCCCAACGGGAAATAATCAGATTGGACGGAATTAGTGACAATACAAGCCTGAGGAGATGTATAAAGTAGCTTGATCCAGGACACAAACCTTTCTCCAAAACCAAACCTGTTGAGAACGGCAAAGAGATACTCCCATTCCACTCGATCAAAGGCCTTCTCGGCGTCAAGAGAAATGATCACCTCAGGAGACGTGGGGCAATGAGCTGAAAAGATTGCATTCAATAGTGTACGAATATTAAAAAACAACTGGCGACCTTTGATGAATCCATTCTGTTCTTGCAAAATAATCTGAGGAAAAACCGTCTCAAGCCGGGTTGCGAGAACTTTAGCCAAAATCTTAAAATCCACATTTAAGAGCGACAGGGGCCTATAAGACTCGCAAGCAGTGGGATCCTTACCCTTCTTCAACAGGAGAGAAATTGAAACCTGAGCTAAGGTGGGGGGCAACAGGCCATGCCCCAGGGACTAATTATAAACCTCAAGAAGGAGAGGGGATATCTTATCTTTAAATTTTTTGAAAAATTCGGCAGGAAATCCGTCTGAGCCAGGTGCCTTACCACTCTGCATATTTTTGATTGACGTAAATATTTCTTCCAATTTAATGGGAGCATCAAGTTGATCAGAAATCAACTTATTTATCCTAGGGATGGCAATATTCTGAAGAAAGGCAAGTAACTCATCCGAGTCTGATTGTAGTTCAGATTTATATAAATCACAATAAAATTTCTTAAAAATGTCACTGATAGAGGCAGGATCGGAAACGAAATTGCCTGAATAATCCTTGATTTGCGAAATTGTGCGAGAGCTAGCTTTTCGTTTCAGTTGATGTGCCAGAAGCCTACTTGGTTTCTCCCCATGCTCATAATAAGCGGCTCGAGATCGAAGCAAGAGACGCTCCGCATCAGATGTTGTTAGGAGATTAAGTTCAGTCTGGAGATCCTGTCGTTGCTTCAGTAAAGCGTGTGACGGATTAATGGCATTTTTCCTGTCAATATTCTGAATTTTTGTTGATATTTCTGATATATTAGCACGTAGATTTTTATTAACATTAGCTAAGAACGAAATAATCTGACCGCGAAGATAGGCTTTCAATGTTTCCCATAATAGTGAGAAAAAGACTGTGTCGCTCTTAAACGTTAGGAAATCATCAATTGCTGATAGGACGAATTTATTGAATGGCTCATCCGATAACAGGAGACTATTAAATCTCCAACGAGGGCAAGAACGGGGTTTATCCATGAAGTTTATATCAAGGCTTAAAGGGGAATGATCTGAAATAATAATCGGATGGTATTCAGAAGACGTGATTCTGTGCATTAAAGATCCGTCAATAAAAAAATAATCTATACGGGAATAGGGCTGGTTTACTTGAGAGAAAAAAGAATAAGTCTTTTTTATTGGATTCTGTGCCCTCCACGGGTCTACATACCCATTTTGAGTCACAAAATCCAAAATTGACTTAGCCATATTTGACTGCGTATAGGCCCGATCTCAGCAACCATTACGTTTAGCCCCGTAAAACTCTCCTGCACCGCTGATAGACCAGAGGACAGTTCATTTTTGAAGGATAGCAGCTCGGATTTAATCGAAGAGAGACGTTCACCAAGAACAGCATGAAACTCCGCTTTAAGTGTAGCTGTAAAGT